CTGGATTTCTCGGACCTTCTCTCCCTGGAAGGATCACTGAGAAAGGGATTCATCTCCACTACGACCCGTTCAAGTACCGCAGGAAATCTGAGTGGCAGACAGTTTTCTCCGTTCACCTATTAACAACCGCATTCTGGGTAAACCCTGTTCCGCCCTCCACCGAATCAGACAAACACTGGAACTACAGCATACAGACTGGAGTCAAGGATTCAACAACTTCTGTGGAAACGTGAGTCAGCAACCAAATCCTCTTCTCCAAGTTCCCGAAACAAATTTCCCACTGAGCCTGAACTAACCGCTGTGTCTTCCCCTCACTTTTCAGTTCCGGTTGAGCAGTGTTCAGAGCAACACTTCTCTCTGAATTATTTCTTCAATAAAACCTGTTAAACCTTTTCCCTGATCTCCCTGTTTGGTCCTCTGCATTTAGGTCTTAACCTTAGTCTAATCATGCCAACTTTCATTCAGATTCAAAAAGTTTGAGGTTATCCACATTGTTTAAGCAGTCAGAAAATGACCGTATGTGGTTGTTGGATTTTGATGCTAAAGGAAAGTAGATCTGGACGTCATCAGCATAACGATGAAAAGAAAGATTATGGTTCCTGAAAATTGACCCTAATGGTAACATATAAAGAATAAAAAGAATAGGTCCAAGAATGGAGCCTTGGGGAACCCCAGAACTGAGAGGGGCTGAAGATGGTGAATTCACCTAGCTGCACAGAAAAGCTCCGATCAGTCAAATAAGACTGGAACCATGAAAGCAGATCCTGTAATGCCCACCCACTGCTCAAGTCGCGCTAGGACTTGATCCACTTGAGCAGTGGTCCACAGAGTCAAAGGCAGCTGTAAGAAGAAGCAAAAGTTAAAATTTTTCAACTCAGCAGCTGCTGCTTGTGTAGCGCGTCAACTCAAACGCTCAGAAGCACTCAAGACGCGTTCCAATACCTCCTGAGGTGCCTTGATACACATAAACCATTGATTCGTAGCATAACTAACAATCACAGTTTGGTAACCATAAAAAAAACACAAGCAAACAATTGTTTTATGTGCATTTCTATAAAACAAGAGCTTCCCTCTGCCTGTACTCCATGTTTTTTGACCACTTGCTGAATGGAAAAGTTTAGTTCATGTGGGCCAAGAGACACAGCAGAAAGGTTGAGGAGAATTTCAAAGCAGGGTTGGATTAAAAAAGGTAAAGATTTTAAGGAGGTACAATCACGGACCAGGCCTAAACCCATCTGCGAAGCTTCAGCATGCCTTCAAAATCTAATCTACCTGAGCGTCAGCTGTTCTACAAAGAAAAATTATATTTTTCTTCCATCTGGATATACATAAAAACCCTGCAGCTACCAGAGCAGCAAAATTACTAATCCATGCTACCCTTTAATATTTTTAGGTTTAAAACCTCTTTAAAACTATTTATCAGGATACTTTGCAGTAATGCACTACTTTTTACTGATCCAACTAGACGTGTTTAGGTGTAAAAAACCCAGAATGAGTTCCAACTTCTCAACACTAACTGTCAGATAATAAAAGCAATATGCTTATTCATGTGTTTTGTGATGCTAAGTGGCTAAGTCCACCTTATTATAGCTGTATTTACATATCTTTATGGGTCATTTGACATATGAGAACCTGCTCGATGATTACCCCAAAAGCAGCAATAACCCTCCACAATAAAAGGTGTAAAGTAATAAAGGCTCCTAAAAGATGAAGCATTAACCATAACAGTGATAGCACGCTAGGCCGCCATCCCTCTTTAGCAGGGGCAAAGGTCAAGCTTTATCAGATCACGTAAATCAAGGCTTTGCAAAGGAAAGTAACAAACAAGCGTTTCCTTCAACTAAGACGCAATGATGAACGTGGTGGGTTTCTTATTTGTGCCGTTGCTCCTAGCGCCGGGGGTATTAACGCTGGAGAGGTGGGTTTTAATCATGAAAAAAAAATCTTTGTTTTATTTTTCATTCAATTATTATTTTTTTAGGAGCGAAATATCGGAATTTTTTCTATTAATAGATTTGTTTTTATGAAAATAGAGGAGTAGAAGTAGGTTTTAATGCATTTTGTGTTTCAAGCAACAGAGCGGAGCATGACTACTACAAGTACCATCCAATGGAGAAGGTGAGGGAACCGGATCATTGCTTTAAATTATACTAAAACACGCATCCTATGTGATTCCATTGTTCCGCCTTACAGATCAGCACCTGGATGACTCAGATGGAGAAGGATCACCCCGATGTGGTGACCATAGTGGATTATGGGAAGACTTACGAGAACAGGACTATAAGCTTGCTGAGGGTGAAGCAGATGTTGGATGAATAAAATGCATGTGTTTAAAAAGACAGGCTGTTTAAATTTAGACGCATTTGCTCCGGTTTTCCAGATTGGTCTTAAATCTGAAGCCAAAAAAAAGGCCATCTGGATGGACTGTGGAATTCACGCTAGAGAGTGGATCGCTCCGGCCTTCTGTCAGTACTTTGTCAGACAGGTAAATAGACTGGATCTACAGAACTTGCATTGTTTTATAGTGTGTTGAAACCAAGAAGCAGAAGCTAATTCATGTAGGTTTTTTGTTTGTAAGTTTTCTGCCCTGTATTAAGCTCCTTCCATCTGTTTTCTTTGGAATCAGATTCTCCAGACATACAAAACAGATGCTAAAATGGAAGCAATGATGACGAACATGGACTTCTACGTCACGCCGGTGCTCAACATAGATGGCTACATGTATTCCTGGAAGGACATCTCAGTCAGTTTCCCCGCATCTTGATGGATATTTATCCAATTAAAGTCGTCCAATCTCCTATAAAACTCTGGAGCCCCATGTGAGCGGGACATGAGAGGATATGCTATTAGGAAAACAGCACTCGAGTAGAAATGAGTTCTGGTTTAATCATTGAAGATGATTTCCGGTGATCCTCATGCCCAAACTATAGGAGACGGCAGCAAATTCAGATAAAATGTCAAGTGGTTCATTTCTTGTGTCGCTGTATTTCGATACATCTGACTGAACGCTCTGATCTGTTCAGACCCGACTGTGGAGGAAGAACAGGTCACCAGGACCTTCAGGCGGCTGCTACGGCACCGATCTCAACCGCAACTTTGATGCCAACTGGGGCAGTGAGTGTCTCATCAGCATCGTTTGATGCTGAGCTCGACGCAGTGAAACTTTTTGGTTTGGTCAGTGAGGAGGAAGGGTATTTCTACTGATTCTGATTCAGGTTTCCTCTCTCCTTATTTAGCCGTTGGGGTGTCGTCTGACTGCTCCTCCAACATCTACTGTGGGAGAGGGCCCATCTCAGAGCCCGAAGCCCAGGCCGTAACTTACTTTGTTGGAAGCCGAAAGGAAGACTTCCTGTGTTTCCTCACCATCCACTCCTACGGCCAGCTGCTCCTGGTTCCCTACGGACACCCCAACTTCACCGCCCCCAACTATGAGGAGCTGGTATTTACATTCAGACACAGTCATGCATGTTCTGTTCATGCAATACACTGTAGCTATGCAGGGACATCTGCAGTTTGTGCAGCCTTATGTGCACATTTCTACAAATTGAGATATTTTCCCACACAGTCATCCAGCTTCACTCTATGCAGAGTTCATAAGACAGGTTTTAAAAAAAAGTTTAAATACTGGGAAAGACCTGATACACTGCAAAAACGATCTCAAAATGAGTAAAAATGTCTTAAACTAAGGGTATTTCCCCTTAATTAGAGCAGGTAAATAAGATGATTTGCCAATGGAATTTGTATTTTTACTCTTAAAATAAGGTATCTAGATATTATACACTTGAAATAAGACAATACAATTGTTTTTTTTCTTATTTTAAGTGTAAATTGGCTTGTTCTATTGGCAAAGTGTCTTACTTAAATCCTTAATTCAAGAAAAAATGCACTTATTTAAAGAAAAAATAACGTATTTAGATTTCATTTTTTTTGCAGTGTAGTAATGAAAGAGAGCCTGAATAATTCAGGTAATAATTTTTAAAGAGGGAACTTTTTACACATCAATCCATTTGTCTTTTTTAGCAGAGGGAAGCATTTAAGCAATGGTACTGTTGAAGTGGAATATAGTAGAAAAATGTGTTTATTTCAGTCGTTAAATTCAAATGCATTTATCAGTATATTGGTTAATGCATGCATTTCTGTTCTTCCTGGTAGTCATAGCAACACAAAAGTCAGTTAATTGTAAAAAATTATATAGAGATGTTATATGTGTTTTCAGGTATTACTTAGTAGATTGGACAAAGCATTGATGGTTGACAAAATTAGCATCTGGATAAAGCTTACTAGCAGGGATCAGTGACTGTGGAAACTTAACCCACATCTGCAGTTTAGATCCTGTGTCCCTCAGACTCTAGTATCTGGATTTACTGTAGTTTGGTCTGAAACTATCACAGTTGCCTCCGCAGTTTTTCCTTCCACCTAATTTTCCAGTTATATGCCCAGATACAGGACTATTTGATAAGCGAAGCTCATAGCCTTATTGCAGCTGGAAAAAAGTGAAGGACTCTTTAGATTATGCAACTTAATCATTACAGTCACTTATATTTTCAAAAATCAGACGCTGCATGAGATGGAAATTTTAATATTATCCAAAAAAGGTGAAAGAAAACAACAGATATTAGCAATCTTTTCTAAGCGTATCCATGATCTCAACATGAAAACAGATCTTATATATATAACAGCTCAGTCCTGGCTGGTCTCTGTCGAGGCCCCCTGTGACTAAAACGGGGCTGCAGTGTTTCCTTGCGTGTTCTCACACTCCCCCGCCGAAGTGTTTGTGCACGGCCAGCGCTGTCGTTCTCTGCTGCCGAGCGCAGCTGAGCAAAATCTTTCTGCTCATTTTGCCATAATATGTCAGTGATAGATGAAGTCATGAATACAGATGAAGCCCTGAAAGGTTTCGGATTGGGTAAACAACTCCTTGCTATTTTCCATTAGGTTTTTCTCAATAAAGCAATGAAGAGCAGAGATCTCTGGATTGTTCTCTGATTACCTGACATAAGCTGTTGTCTGACTCTTCAGATGAATGTGGGAAAGGGAGCAGCTGAAGCCATTTGGAAAGTCCATGGGAAAAACTACACAGTAGGAACCTCCCCGGATGTATTATGTATGTTGGACATTGTTTTTGTTCCTTTAAATTACAGTTTTGAAGCATTTTATCAAAGAAACATAATCCGCTTTTCAGATGCCAACTCTGGTTCATCCAGAGACTGGGCTCGAATGCAGGACATCCCCCTGACCTTCACCTTTGAGCTGAGAGATAACGGAACGTACGGCTTTGAACTCCCCGAGGACCAGATCCAGCCGACCTGCGAGGAGGCCTACCATGGGGCTCTGCACATCATCACCTACGCCCATGACAAGACCTTTAGCGGTGCGGCAGCCGCTGCTGCAGCAACCCTTTGGACCATGCTGTTAGCGGTGGGGGTCTCCGGGGCCAACCTGCTGTGAGGAGAAAAGCTGCTCTCAAACTATAAATAGAAGGAGTTTCTTATATTTGAGCAGAACCTGTGATTATATTTCACTAAATATTTCTTTGTTTTCAAGTTTATTAGGATACAATGACTGCAAAATATATTGCATGAGTAACTAATAAATTTTTACTACACACTGAGACATGTTTTCAGTTTATTCAAGCTACATAAGAGCTGGAGAGAGCAAGAATTTCAGCAGATAACAGAAAGGCTGGCTCTGTTTGAAAGCTTTCTTTTGGAAATCCTAAAGGAATTTTGTGTTTTATTATGCTAATAATTGAATCCTAACAATGTCAGTGCTACTATCTGATGCTAAATAATTGTCTTGTCTAATAACCCTGTTTAACGGCAACTGCTTTGACACAAGATTCCCCGTTTTTTTGTTCTTAAAGGGGTTGTGCCACATACTTTTTTCAGGATGGATCAAACGGTGTTATGATATTCAAGAAGTAACCCTCAGTTTATACACCTCCAAATTGGAAAATAGACATACTTTGTCCATATGTTAGAAATACATGCAAGCTTTGGAAAGTGAACCCATTGGGAGGGATAGGATTTGATAAACATCCCATGTTGCGTCACTCAAACAGGATTAGCTCTTTTTCGCATAAACAGATAATTTCATAGCACACATTTTGTTTCGCATTATGATTTTGGCTAAAAAAGGTACTTATAATTAATATTTTTGTCGGCCAAAAAAGTTGATTACAGGAGCAAAACACTCAAATTATGATGTAGCATTAAATACAGATCTAGCATTAAATAAGAAAAAATAAATCAACCATAGAAAACACTCATTTTTATACCGTACTATACTTCCTTGTATAGTGGTGAATCTGAAAAACATATATACCATAAATCTATATGAGACAGATTTGAGTTCCAGTTTTAAGAGGACCAAGTTTCCTGTATTTAATTTTTAAGACAAAAAAAAGTAAAATTATATACATTGTTTTAAGTAGCTGGTAGCTAGCATATACAACTAGGTAATGCTAATTAGCTTAGATGTTAGCTAGCTGTAGTGTGATGACGTAAATATGAAGCCTTGGTTGTTAGCAGACTTTACCCATAAAAACGTTGGACCTGAAGGTTTTACTGTATTTTAGCTGCCACTTGAAAAACCAGCTTTGCTAAATGCTAACATTGACAGGGCTAACTTCAATTAGCCTAGCCACTGTCAGCCTAGGCAACTGTTAGCAACTCTAATTTAAAAAATTAGATTTTTTTTTTTTATTTATATAAGTCATAATTGAAGCCTGATTATGTGAAAAGTAAAGTTTTGGATGAGTTATACAAAAACACAGTTTTATTATTCAGGCTCAATGTGGAATCTTATGGATAGGCAGGTCTAGATAGTTTTTGTATTTGTACTTGCATATTTGTATTTACTGAAGTTAAACATTTTTATATTGAGAGTTATTTTTAAGGAAGTAAATATATTTTCCCAGTATCAGATACTTTCTAGTTTAGATGCCTGACTCATTTCATACGTCTTTAAGGGTGTTTCTATGATTTTTTTTCCTATTTCTCCTCTCACCATCTCCTATGCAACGCTCACAGATTATCAAACTTTGTTGTTATATTATTCCTTATTGCTTGTAACTCTCCCTAAATATATTCCTAAACTGCAGATGTGTCAAGTAACAAAGTACAAATACTTTGTTACTGTACTTTAGTACACTTTTTAGGTATATATACTTTACTCCATTACTTATTATTCTTCCTACTTCTGACTTCTACTCCTTA